GCACACTTTGGATTATATTAGCTGTGTTGTCAACTAAAACTAATTTTTTAACTCATCGCTTCTTCATCATATAAGAAACAAAAAGTCTTTGGAGATTAGAAAATATAAATAAAATATAAATTCTAAAAATTCTCACAACACACCACCCAGTGATAATACTATGAATATGTTCTTATAAAATCTTCCTTACTATCTTCTATGCTTGTTCATTTTTTCTATTAATTGTAAAATATTTCAATGCATGTTATATTTTTAACTTGTATCCTCTGAATGGGTTTTTACATTTCTGGGTTTTTTTATTATTATCAAAATATTTATGCTCCTATTTTTTATATTTCTATGATTATTTTTCCGGATTTATTGAGACAATTTGACATGTCATATTATATACCTTCAAGGGTTGATTTGATATATTTATATTGCAAAATGATTACCACCACTGCGCTAGCTAACATGTCCATCCATCACACAATTACCATCTCTTTTAAGAACTCTTAAAATCTACTCTCCTACATTATCATACCTAAATTTTTTTCCCTAGATATGTAAGTGAGGTTAGTCTAGTCTTTGAAAAAGAGTAGGCTAGAGTCCATCTAGTCTAGAAATAGAGTCCATCTACTTGTGATCACTGACATGAATGAGATTTTTGGAGAGCTGCTCTGTGGAGCACTGGAAGCTGCCATATCCCATCCTGGCAGTCCAGGGCTTTGCACCTGCCCCAGGACCACTACACTGTGATGTTCCACTGGCCAAACTGGTAGCAACAGCTTTCACAGATTAAAACTCCGCCTTTTAAAGTAGAAAGTGACTGGGAAAAAAAATCCCCCCCTACCCCAGGTAGGGAGATTTACTCTCTTAGCAACATTCAGCATATAAAACAGTGCTATTAGCTAAAATATATTAGATCCCCAAACCTGTTCATCTTAGAACTGGAAGCTTATGCCCCTCAACCCACAGCTCCCCATTCCCCCAGCACACCCCCAACCCCTGGTAACCACTCCTGTATTCTCTGTTTCTCTGAATGCAGTTTTGTCTCTGACTTATTTCACTTAACATTTCTGATGATTTCTTAACAATTCCTACCAGTTCAATTGCTAGGTCAAAAAACATATGTTTTCTTCTGAGGCTTTTAATTTCCTATCACCACAGAACCCTTCAGAAATCAATTTATATTCCCATCAGCAGGTTATAAAAGGCTTCAAGACTCCTGAAATTTTTACAGGAAAGCTTGCCAAGCCAGGTGTCTCTCATTCTACTTGGTAATTGATTTTAAGCAAAATAAAATACTGTATTTGTACATTTTCATTTATTTAATTAGCTTGAGAGTCTTGGCCCCACTTCTTGAAATTATTAGATAGTCCATCTTGACTCTTCAGAGTCAAGAATGAGATAGGCAGTGCAGCGATTCAGTCACACACAGAGTAACTCACCTATCTGGCTTTGTATCACCCGCAGATCTGACTCATATCCCTGCTATGTCTTCATCTGAATTACAGATAACATTGTTGAATAGACTAGCGCCAAAAACTGGGCCCCCTGATGATCTATTAGGTGTGTCTTCTGCCTGATAGACAGAATCATCTCCACATTCACAATACAGCTCTAGTAGCAGCTGACACTTCACGTGTCCTTCACATGATTCACGCACAGCCCAGCATCTCATGAAGTGATGGCTGGCACCACAGGCTGGGGATCCAACCTGACAGACGTGTCTGTTCTGGCTGGTCAATAGCCAGGGTGTGTCTGTGGTTAAATGAAATTAATTATCGTCCTTGCATCCATGATGAAACACTACCAAGATGAAACAGATGTTCGTTTGTCCTATTTGTCTCAGATATCTTATGTTGAGGAAATAAGATGTCTCAAACACAGTTGAAATGCACACACACACACACACACACATCCAAATGATTTTTTTACTTGAAAATTTAGCATAAGTAGCAAAGAAGCATTCCATATATGTATCTCCCTAAAATTTTTCAATATTGTGTCTTTGAAGTATATCTATCTTGATACATATATAGATCTAATTAATTCATTTTAATTGCTTTATAATCTCCCATTTAAGGGGAAAAAACCCTACCGAAGGACAATTAGACTATTTTCACAAAGAGGGTTAGCACAATTTCTTGTGCACATATTCCAGAGTGCCACTAAGATAGAGTCATAGTGGAATTGTTGGGTCATAGGGCATGAGCATATTTATTTTGATGATACTCAGTTGCTGACAGTGACACCTACGAGGCAGGTAGTTCCAGTGTATGTTCTTACCAAGAACATATAAGTTCCTTTTCCTTATACTCTCACCACCATTTGGTATTATCAGACAATCCAATGGTGGTAATTTATATACTAGGTTACAAATTATATTTTATATGTTTTAATTGTCAAATTAAATATTTCAGATGAATTTTAAAGTTAAAAAAAGAGTGAAGTCTCATCTGTAGGGACTAACATGAAAAATGATGTAAGAAAAAAATGTAGTTATGGAGGACAGTGAGTGAGTGAACAAAATTATATCTTTTCTGATTATAATGCACAGAAGTGAGGACATTTTAAAAATCTTATTACTTGAAGTTTAATTTATGTATCTTAGGTGAGATGTAAGAAAAAAATGTAGTTATAGAGGACAGTGAGTGAGTGAGTGAACAAAATTATATCTTCTCTGATTATAATGCACAGAAGTGAGGACATTTTAAAAATCTTATTACTTGAAGTTTAATTTATGTATCTTAGGTGAGGATAAGAGGGTCCTCAACCAGAAGACGTAAGAAAAATATCTCTTAGTCTGAACTGAAAATAAATGTTGAATAACATCAAGATTTTGTGGTAAATTGTTGGATTAAATTAGTTATCGTTAACTCTTTGCTCATGACCTACACTATTTCCTTAAGTAAATTCTTGGAAGTAGAATGACACGTGATAGACCTTCAATAAATAATTGTTAATGGGCCTCCCCTGGTGGCGCAGCAGTTGAGCTCTGGGCTGCGAAGCTGCCCGCAGCCTCTGCAGCACCGGTTGGATCCCTGGCCGCCAGGCGAGGGTCCCACATGGCGCGCAGACCTCTCCTGCCGCCCGCTGCTCCCCTCAGCAGTGTATTTCTTCATCAGCCTGCCTGTTCTGTTCCCCGCTCTGGCTCTAGTAAATTCTCTCACCCTCCTGTGCTTCTGACTGTACCCAGTGCTTGTATAAATAAATAAATAAATCTTAAAAAAAATTGTTAAGTATGCGAATGAAGGGATAAAATTATGTGAAAATAAACAATTGTACAGAAGAAAATTCTCTAAAGCCAGAATGTCATAGCTGACTTTCTAATGGTGAACTAAAAATAACTTTTTCCTGCTTTTTTACCGGATGGTTTCTTTTTCTTTTCTACAATTAATATATGTTACTTGTATAATAAATACAAATGTAATTTTATAAGTAAGGATAATTGCAACAAAGACTTCATATTTATTTCTTGGAAAAACTCACGTATGGTGAAAACTTGGCTGAATTCTAAAAAATTAACTTAAAAGAGATTTTGATTCCTAGCCAGATCCTTACAGTCCATGAAGATTTTCCAGGTAGTCACCCTTTACTGACCACCAGGAACCCTGCCTCATGGTATCCCTACCCTTGTGTAGTCTCTCCCCCTTGTGTGAGGGTTGGTCTGTGAGGCAAACAAAATATGACAATAGAGGAGGTACATCACTTCTGAGATTAGGTTGTAAAAGATATCTCCATCTTTTTTCTCCCTCTTGTGTCAATTGCTTTAGGGGAAACCATCTACCACGTTGTGAGCCACCCTAAGAGGAATCCTATATGCCAAGAAACTGAAGCTTCCTGCCAACAGCCTTGTGGATGTGCTATCTCGGAAACGGCCGCAAGACTTCAACTGATGCATCCCATGCCAAGGTTCTGACTGAATCCACATGAGAGCTCTTGAGCCAGAACCATCCAGTTAGACCACACTTGGATGTGATATATCAATAATTTGTTATTAGAAGTTGCTAAGTTTTGGGGTAACTTGATCTACAGCAACAAATAACTATTATACCCTTTTAAATCGGGCACTTGACTAGTATATTTTAGCACCAGGAAGAGGTAGGGTAAAGGACAGAGGGGCAAAAGAGGAAAAGGGATGTCTTTGAGAAGGAGCAGAGTTCCTTGTGCTCTTCAACCATTCCCCTCCCTACTCTGTGTGATATGGTGACTCTTGACTTGTCTCCCCAAGTTGGGGGATTCCAGAAGTAACTGTGAGGCAGAAGAATGATTCTGTTGCCTGGGGTGTATATCCCTTCTTTTCTGGAGTTACTTACTGGCAGTTGGCAGCTCACAGAGGGTCTTGCGCAGTGCTGATTTAAATGCTGTGGATGGCACACATGGGCACAGGGAGGATTGGGTCCCATCTTCTGAGAGTTCATAGAAGGAGACCAGGGAATGTCCTACCATTTTGGGTAAAGGTGGACTGCTCTAGGAGAGTGACCCAGTTGACCCAGGAGGCTCTGAAAGCTTAGCCACCTGTCTTTGAGGACCCAGGCAGCCCTGGACATTGGATAGAGATACTGCTGCACCATCGCCTATACCAAGCATAGGACAACAGCCAAGTCCTACCTGGGACCCCACATAGGTGGAGTCAGCCGGGTGAATAGCTACCAACAGTCACTGGGGACTGGCGGAATAGAGAAACATGACCCAGCAGAAAAAGAAGGGGTTCTCCTTCTTCACTTCCCACAAGGGAACTCTTGGAACAGCATGAGGGGCTGTGGGGAGGAAAGGAAAGGGCACCAGCAGACAAAGCGGCCTTCTGCCTCCCAGTCCCAGGTAGGGGCTCTGAACCAGACGGTGATCCAGAACAAGAGCCTAACATGATGGCGCATTTCCTTGAAATGGAAGTATTTTAAGCTGGAAATGACAGGACATAGCTGATATTTATAAAATTGGACTAATTTCAGTTTTTTCCACTGCTGAGAACAATTGCGAGAGGTATTTAAAGAAAAGGAAGTGAGTTAGAGAAATAAAGCAAACCTTTACTGGCACATACTTAGTGGGGACTGTTCAATGAAGCTGTGGGATAAATGAGGAATGAGGTGTGTATTCCACGTGCTCTTGAATGTTAAGCTGGTCAAGTCCCCAGACAGGTATGTTGCACTCTTCCAAAACCTTCCAAAATTATAAATACAGATATTTTGCATTTATTTAGTCTTCTGTCACTTATAAACACTATTTCTTCTGCAACTCTTGCCCAGTATCCAATGGAAATTTCCCACATATGTGCTGCTGCATGTAGTAGCCACTACCCACACATGGCCATTGCACACTTGAAAGGTAGCTAACTCAACTTGGGGACTAACTTTTACATTTTCTGCAAAAAAATGTAAAATGTATGAAGGAGCACAGGGGACTGAGGTGATGGTGCACAGGTGCATTGGTAAAGGAAATTCTATGGGGACTATAGCTGAGGTGGGGGGGGAGCAAACATTGTTTAAAAATGAACAATGATGTAAAAATATATTTTAAAAAATAAAACGTGGTTAATGCTACCCGACTGGACAGTGAGGTCTCCTAAATTGGAGGCATATGTTTGTTTGCTACCAAAAACTCCAAAATGCTAAGGAAACTTTGATTCCAGTTTTCTGACATCACCCAGCTCATGCATCCTCAGAACCAAATGGAGAATAATATTTACAGTAATGTTTATGTGGGGGAAACTTGAGCACAGCCTGAATGTCTGATCATATTAAGGTATCACTAAGGCTATAGTCAGAAATATTTACAGATAAAATGATAGGATATGTGCAACTTGCTTTGGTAATAGGGTGATGGGGTGGGGTGTGGATAGAGGAAACAAAGTAGGTGGATAACTATAGGAGCTGTGGGATGGGCTCATGAGTGTCCTTTAGATTCACTTTTCTACTTTACATGTTGATAAAACTTTTTTAATTAAAAATAGTGAGAGTTGTTAAGAAAATGGGAAAGCACTCCTATTATATTAAGTGAGAGGAGAAAAAAGCAAATTACAAAATGGTAAGTTTAGAATAAAACAGAATTTACAGAGGTGGAAAGAAGTATATGCTGTCACAGTGACTAGGAGCCCAGATGGCTGGGGTCAGATCCTGGCTATAACACCTATTTGGCTTCGTGGTCTTAGGGAATTTTTTTTTTCACTCTACTAAACCTCAGTGTCCTCACCTACAATGAAAATCACACCAGAATGTACTGCTTCAAATTGTTAAAGAGATTAAATGAGGCTATTTTTGAAATACTTATCTAGCATCTGGCACACAAGTCCCATCACTTATATCTGGGGAACAGATTTTTAAGTGCTTGCTACTGTACCACCATAGTATCCAATTCTCCACAAAAGAAATATCTTCCTTTTATATTCAAGAAGGAAAATGATGTTCCAAAGAACAGCTTCTTCCATCACTGCTTCTATGTTCTGAGAAACTGTTAGCCAAGTAAGTTAATAATTTATCAGATGTTCTAAACTTTAGCAAAAGGAGAATTCCAGCTAATCTGGAGAAGTGGAATTCCCCGTAAAAACCCTGTCTAGTGACCTGTATAACACTTGTATTAGACAGCATCCTCTGGACATTTCCTCTGGCCCAGGCTGTCTAGTGAGGTCTCGCTTCTGTGATTCTCTTTATTCCTGACCCAAAAGCTCTCCTTTTGATGGAGAGAGCTTTTATGGCAGATGATGCTATACAATCTCCCCTTTCTACTAGAACAACATATATTGTTCCATTGTCACTATCTGGTTGTGAGTTCCCTCCATGTGACAGTGATGCTTATGAAATTGCATTTTTATTTTCTCAGTAATGTGAAAATCTTACTTTATCCATTCCCTGTGCTCTACTCTTTGAGAGATAGGCATGTATGTAAATCCATACAGAAGATAAAATAAAATAAATAAGGTTCTGCTCCAGTTGTCTATTTTTGCTGAAGAATAGAAACACTGTGTCTGTTACCTTGTTTCTAGTTCAATCACAATTGATCACGTTTTCCATTTTTTCAACTATCAGTGGTAAAAAGTCAACTGAAACTACATCAAACTAGGAAGAAGGAGGAAGGGAGGGAGAGGGAGGAAGGGAAGAAGTGAGTGAGAGAGAGCGAGAGAGTATGAGAGAGAGTGAGAGAGAGAATTATTGATTCCATAACTGAAAAGCCCAGATTAGTTTCAGATATGGCTAAACCCAGATGCTCCAATATTTTCAGAAATTTCTCTCTCTCTCCATCCCTCCCCCTTCTTCACTCCTCCATTATTAAACTCTGTTTTCTGTTGTGTTGACTTTATTCTCTCTCTCACTAAGGTAAGGCAGCTATCATCAGCTGCTAGCTTATAGTCTACCACCTTGGCAACTATGATAGAAGAAGAAAGCATACTGCATTCTCAATCACTGGAGAAAAGTATGGTGACAACTATCATTGTACTAGCTTAGGTCATGCGCAACTTTGAACCAGTTATTGAGATTTTGATAGAATTTTCTCACTTGTATGTTCACCCTTGGAGCTAAGTGATGGAAGCTACACTCTCTGGCTACATAGACTGTGTAGAAGATGAATGGTATCCCTTCAAAGATACAGAGGCTGTTAAAAAATGAAAAATGGGTGCTAAGAAAACAAAAATAACAGCTGTCCGCTGTGCATCCCATAAGAATCTTTTAAAATGCTCTTGAAGCCATTGGGAAATGTCCTGCCAAACACATTCTACCATGTCTTTGTGGCACTCACCGTCCTTTGCCAGTAGCCTCGTAATCTAGCATATTGGGTGCTTGCCCGGGAAATGAAATCTTCTTCAACACCATCAACATCACAGCTGTTCATTCCAATATATTCTCTTTTCTCTTTCAAAGTTATAGCCATCAGCTGGATGAAAAACTTGTCTACCACCTGTGTCCCCAAATTCTTCAAAGTCTGTCTCAGAAATTTAAAATTTCTAGAGACATATATCAGATTCCTTTAGACTACACCATTTCTCTGTCCAGGAATCAAGTGAGATAGACAATGGCTAGAGATTCTGGGTAAATATTTCTTCACATCTGCATTTGTGTTCTAGAAACACAGTGCCCCTCCAAACATGCCACCCCAGGGAGCCACCTCTTCCTGGGAATGCACAAGGTTGTTTTTTTCCCACCTGCTGTGGCTGCTTCTTCGATGTGTGTACACAGTAGTATCTGGCATGGTGCTGAGGGTACATTGGATCTCAGCAACCATCTCAGTTTAATGATGCTTGTTCATTTTCCATTGTTGCCCTATTGAAGTGCCTGTAGAACAAACAAATGACCCAACCAAAAAAAAAAAAAAAAAAACTAAGCTAAAGAAAGAATTAGGAAAGGAATGCTGGGGACTTTATCCATAATGAATCTTCAGGCTAGGTGGCAGGTGGGTATATGAATGCCCAATGCATTACTGCCTGATCTTCTGAAGTATTTTATAAACTAGGAAAATCTTCTGGTTGCAACTCAAACTGACAAAAAAACGGCTAGTATGATCATGCTACTCCCCAACTTGTTCCCTGCTGTCCATAAGATGACATTCAAGCTCTTCACCACACACACAAGGTCCTGGCACACAAGATCCAAGCTGTCACCCAGTCTTCCTCCAAATTTCGTACATTAAATCTTTAACTCCCAGTGAGACTGTTTGGAGGTGGGAACTTTGGGATGGGATCAGAGTTGGAATGCCCACGATAGAATTAGTGACCTTATGAGAAAAGAATATCTGAGCTTCCTCTCTCCACCATGTGAGGACACAGTGAGAGGTGGTTGTCTCCAACTCAGGAAAAGAGCCCTGCCAGGAGTTGGAGTTACAGTTGGAGTTCCTAGCCTTCTGTCCGTTGCTTAAGCCACTGGTCTAAGGTATTCTGCTATAGCAGCTGAGCTGGCTAAGATGCTACTTTCCTCTCACAGTGATGGCTTCAAGCATCTGAGCCACCACTCCCAGCTCCCTGAAGGTGTGACATTCTTTCTCAACCAGGTGCTTTGGAGTCTGCCTCCTCTCCCCTTTTTCACATGTTTATCTACTATTTACTCATTGTGTTTGATAAAGTAAGCTAAGAGAGACATCTCAGAATGCAGTGGCTTAAAGAAGGGATCATGCTCAGTAAAATAAGCCAGAATGGCTCACTTATAGCAGGAATGTACAGGATCCAAACAAGGGATCAGGGAAAAAAAAACCAATTATAATAAAATCAAAATCTACAGGCAACTATAAATCAGAGACATACTATAGGGGGAGGAGAAGGGAGTAGGATCAAAACAAAGGTGGGAGGAGCACAAGGGACCATGGTGATAGATCACGGATGAATGGGTGGTGGGAATTTTACAAGATGAAAATGTATACATTGTACAAAAATGAAAACTGATGTAAAAAATATATAAAATAATTAAAATAAATATTTTTAAAAGAGATTACAAGTCTCATTTTGCTCATGTAGTCGTTATAAGATGAGCAGAACATGTGGGTGGGAAGCTCTGCCCTCATAGTCATTCAGATACCCAAGTTCCTTCCAATCATTGCTCAGACAACCTCTAACCCTCATGGTCACTGCATGACTCAAGCTGTGTCGCCATCACATTCAGATATTACCTGCAGGATGGAGAAGGCCCACTAGGTTGCTTTGAAGTCAGGACCTGGAAGTGGTCCATATGATTTCTGCTCACTTTATTGTGACAACTTAGTCACATGATCATTACTAGCTGCTAGGAATTCTGGGAAATGTAGGCCCTAGTTAAGCAGCTATGAGCCTGCCTTCAGTTCTCTTGCAATGGAAGAATGAAATTCAACAAGCCATTGAGGTTTAGACCTTGGTTTCCTGTGGGATGCCTTCTCTACTCCCTGGCTTTTCTATCTCAGCTGGATGTCCTTCTCCAAGCTCCCAGTGACTACATAGCAGCTATCTCAGTCTTGGCCTTTCTCCCTACTCCACTGACCTCCCTGTCCCCAGTGTGATGATGAGCACCTTGGGTGTGACTCTTTATGTCCCTGCTACTTAGCACTTACTCAACAATGAAAACTTTTCAAGTAAAAGTATGGGGGACCAGCAACCTAATTTGCAGGGACCAGTGTACAGTGAAAATGCAGGGTCCCTGGTTCAAAAGTAATTAAGAATTTTAACATGACGACAGAAGAACATGAAGCCAAATCAGGGATCTTTCTGAGTGCAGGGTCTATGCACTCACACAGGTTGTACATCCACAAAGCCAGCACTGAAAGTATGAATCAAAAAAAGAATTGAGTTTAACAGCCTGACTCTTCCTCCATAAGGAAAGCCACTATCTGTGTGTGTGCTTATGCCATGAGTGGAGATGAATCCAATTATGTTGGTGAATGTTTAGGAAGTAAATCTTTGCTGATCATACGTGCTTCCCTTAATGTAGATCATCTCAACGGTGAAGGCATATCCCACTTCTCACTACCCTGTCCTTTAGTTCCCTAACAGTCCAGATGTATAGCATCTCACCTTCCTCTCACCTCCTACAGGGTCTCCTCTCAGCAAGCCATCACAACAGTAGTCATCGTGTCCATTTTCTTACGGTCCCAGAGACTCCTGGGTGGGGAGACCTTTGAAGCTGTTGCCAAGCTAGCATTGGCAAATGTCTCCAGCATTTGTTCAAGCACCTCCAGCAACAAGGAACTTCCTACCTCCCTGAGCCGCTCCTTCGGTTTTTGACAACTCTGCAGATAGAAATTTTCCTAAAGTTGAGCCAAAATCTTTCTTATAATTTCCACCCACTGGCTCAGAGCCACGCAGAGGAATTATGATGCCACTCCAGTGTCCTTTAGGTGCTTCAAGGGCTCTGATGCTCACCTGACAGCAGAGATTGCCAACAAGCAGCACAGAGATGGGATACGGGACATAGATGTATTGTATTTGGTCCAGACAAGGTTATTATTTTTTTTTTTTGGTTGGTTGCCAATACTGAAAACTCTGAAGGATTCATATAAAATACAAAATTCAAGTCTCTAAAACGTGGATGTTCTGGTAATACCAAGTTTATGGTCCCATGATACTGCTTGCTATTGAGAATATTAAAAAATGGATATTGGATGGGCAATTGCTACTCTTCCCCACAGTCTGCTGTTTAGGCTACTTAAAAAATATATATATTTATTTATTTTTTATTTATGCATACAAGAATTGGGGTGTAGTTCAGAGGTGTGGGGGGTGAGAGGACTCACCAGAGACAGAGTGAGGAGCAAAACAGGCAGATCTACTAAGATACACTGTTGAGGGCAGCAGCAGGAGAGACAGGAGAGGTCTGCTGTGCCATGTGGGTTAGCTCCCTGGCTGGGAATCAAATTCATGCTGTAGTGACTGCCAATAGTTTGATTGCGCTGACTTTAACCCCTGCACACCCAGGGAGGCCCCTGCTTTGGCTACTTAATACCCATACACATGCACTTAACTTACTATCAGAATGGCTGCATGATAAGAATGTTCATCAGCCAGCCTCCTTAGCCTAGTACAAGTAGTCAAAGAGTTGTAAACTCAAGTTCTTTTATTATTATTATTACTACTATTATTATTATTATTATTATTATTATTATTTTCTTACACCATTGTTCATTTTTTATAGTAATTGGCTCCTCCCGGCAGGTGTAGTCCCTGTAGTTCTCTAACCACCATTATATCCGTGATCCATCACCATAGCCTCTGTGGTCTCTCCTCCCCTGTTTTGACCTCCTTGTTCCCCCTGCCTTGCTGCATGCCTCAGTTCTCTGGTCAGTTTGCAAGTTTTGTCTTTTTCTTTTGTTCAGTTTCTCTATAAGCTGCATATAATTGAAACCATCCAATAATTATCTTTTTCCTTCTGACTTATTTTGGTTAACATAATTCCTACCAGCTCCATCCATGTTGCCAAAAATGGCATATGTTTGTCTTTTTGATCATAGTATCTCATTGTGGATCTGTATCACAACTTTTTGATCCATTTGCCTGTTTGGGGGCATTTGAGTTGTTTCCATATCTAGGCTATTGTCAATAGTGCTGCAATAAACATAGCAGAGCAAGTTTCCTTTTGAATTAATGTTTTTGTAAATCCAAGTTTTTAAATTGGTTTCAGGGAAAGTTGTTTTAAAAAGAATGACTCCCCTTTGTCTTTTCTTTCAGAATGCAGAGATGGTGGCTGGTGTTCTAGCAACTGCCTTGCGACCATGAGGCAAACTTAAAGGCAGAGGCTACATGTAGGAATATTGAAAAAGATAGTAGGACACTGTTTCCATTGTTATTATCAAACTGTCATACTAGCTGTGCCTATCACTGAACTTCTTTTATATAAAACATTTAAGTAAAGAAACAAACATTTTGCTTAAGCCACTGATATTTTAATTGTTATTAGCAACTAAAGGCAGTTTCTACATGGAACATAATTTTTATTATTACTTTTTCTTAAATTAAGTCTTTTTTTTTCTTTTTTTAAAGATTTATTTTATTTTATTTTATTTTATTTATTTATTTATACAAGCACTGGGTACAGTCAGAAGCGCGGGAGGGTGAGAGAATTCACCAGAGCCAGAGCGGAGAGCAGAGCAGGCAGAATGACGAAGTACACTGTTGAGGGGAGCAGCGGGCGGCAGGAGAAGTCTGCGCGCCATGTGGGACCCTCCTCCGGTGGCCGGGGAGCAGCCAGGAATCGAACCAGTGCTGCAGAGGCTGCGGGCAGCTTCGCAACCCAGCGCTCAACCGCTGCGCCACTGGGGAGGCCCTTAAATTAAGTCTTAATATTGAAAACTCTCATCACACAAACATAGGAAGACTAATATCTGCGTGCAAAAAAATTAATTGGAAAACTTACCTTATACCATTCCCCCAAATGTCTCAATATAGATCACCTAAACATAAGAGCTGAAACCATAGAATTCTTAGAAGAAAATGTGAGTATATTTTTATGAAGTTGGTTTAGGCAATGGTTTTTCAGTTATCACACAACAAGCATAAATAATAGAAGAAAAAATAAATTGGACTTGATCAAAATTAAAACTTCTGTGCTTCGAACATCCACACAAGAAAGTAAAAAGACAACCCGCAGATTCGGGTGGGAAATATTTGCAAACTTTCTACCTGATAAAGGACTTGTGTCCAGAATACATAAAGAAGGATTATGACTCAATCAAGAAGACTTTTTAAGACCCAATTTTAAAGCATGCACAAGATTCGAATAGACATTTCCCGCAAAGAAGATACACAAATAGCCAATAAATAGGTGGAAAGAAGTTCAATGTCATTAGCTATCAGGGAAATGCAAATCAAAAACACAATAAGATGCCTCTTCACACCCACTAGGATGGCTAGAATAAAAAATAACAAATGTTGGCGAGAATATGGAGAAATTGGAACCCTTGTGCATTGCTGGTGGGGATGCAAAATGGTGCAGCTGTTATGGGAACCAGTTTGGCAGTTCCTTACGAAGTTAAACATAGAATTACCATATGATCCTGCAATTCCACTCCTAGGTATATATCCAAAAGAAATGAAAGCGGGGACTCAAACAGATACTTTCGTACAAATGTTTATAGCAATATTATCCATAATAGCCAAAAGGTGAAAAGAACTCCAGCGCACATCAACAGATGAATGGGTAAACAAGATGTGATGTGTAACATCATGTGCATGGAGTATTATTCAACAAAAAGAATTATGCACTGATACACACTACCACAAGGATAACCTAGAAAACATTATGTCTGGCTTTGGAAGCCAATTACAAAGACCGCACTTTATTTTTGTTTTTGTGTTTTTACATTTTAAAAGGGCAGGTTTATTAGGAAAAGGAGAAAGAAAAAAAGAGAAGCACCTGCTTAGTCACAGGCAGGCAGGAGAGGTGCCAAAAACCACATTTTGCATGATTCCATTCAGATGAAAGTCCAGAAGAGGCGAATCTACGCAAACAAGAGAGATGACTAGTTGCCAGGGGCTGGAAAAAGGAGGAAAGGGGAGAGATTGTTGATGGATATAGGGTTTCTTTTGGAGCTGATAAAAATTTTCTAAATTTAAACTGGTCAGATCAGATACCATACTTGCTCTTAGCCAAAAGGCCAAGAGGCAATACATTTTCTAAATTTTTATTGTGGAGAGGGTTACTCAACTCGGTAAATATACTTAAAAAGTATACTTCAAATGAGTAAATTTAATGGTATGTAAATTTTATCTCAATCAATCTGTCTTACAAATAGGCCCATGTAAAACGAACACTTGTGTACCTGGCCCGTCTTCAACAATTGTAACTTGAGACCGATTTCTTTTCATCTGCTGCCGCCATATGCTCATCCTCCTTCTGCATTATTTTGAAGTAGCTCCCTGACATCTTCTAATACAGACTTTAAAACCAGAAAACTCCTGTGGTGTGGAGAGCTGGCTGGGTTATCCCTGCCTGTTTGACATCCAAGCTTGGTTCTCCAGCCTTCTTGGACTTGTTACAAATAGCAACGTTTCCTGTAGTAAATCTCTTTTCTGATTAAACTTTTCTGCAGCTAAGCACCTCAACTGCTAGATGGACAATCGACATTGACCTTTTGTGTGTATCTATCCACAGAAGGGGTGGTGTCTAAAAAACAGTATTAGAGATTCTTCCCTCCTTAATGAAAACCTCCTGGAAAATGCAGAAGTCTGGATACCACATGTTGTTTGTAGATGAGGAGGGCTTGCATGGGAGAGGGACTATTCCCAAAGGAAACCCCAGTAACAAAGAATTGATGTCTAGTAACAAGATTTAACATAGTGGATCTCTATTATCTTGGCTTCTGCCTCAGATTCCCTAAGGAGAAAATGAGCGTCTTTCCCCAAAGGTCAAGAATACAAACACCTTTGCCCTGCCCTTGGTAGATGCCTGACTTTTTTGGATCCTCTGGTCACATCCTCTACAATTGGACACACCCACCAGCTCCTCCCTGTATCCTGAGTAAGCTTGTTAGGCTGTGGTTAACCTCTT